CTTGAACCGATAAGAAACGAGAAGGATCAGAGAAGAAGGAAATGTGGTTAGTACGAGTCGAGCAAAACGCTATTTCCTTAAAATCGTATTTGCTAACATGACAACTCAAAAAATTATTTTCCTAAATTCAATTTTATAAATTTCAAAATAATTATGTTTACTCATTCGAAAATTTTTATTAAAAATGGTGTATGAATTAAATATTTTAAATCGTGATTTTATCAATTCAACACCAAGAAGTAGCCTATTTCGAAAAATACTAAGTTTCGGATATATCTATGTACCAAGTTTTGACACAAAAAGTCAATCTGAGTGAAACCGGAGAGGAACATGTGAAACCTGAACCAATGTTTTATTTAGAAACAATCTTATAGAAAATCTATTTTTAACCCCCAAAGTTGTGTAAAATTATTTTAATGCCTTAGCTTGATTTTGAAAAGAAAAGCCTGATATTTACAAGTCATTTTACCCTTTTGCCCTCATCAGCCAATGATTGTCACCTAGGGGTTTGAACCCATATAAATAGAACACTATTCCATTGCTTCTCCTAATCCCCTCCATTTTTCCTCTTCACTCCAAGTCTTAGAAATCTGCTAGTAGAGAAAAAGGAATCACAGTAAGTATCTTTGCCATTCATCTTCTCCATTCATTTCATTTTCCAGACTTGTTCATCCATTCTCTGCCTTCCATCTCTGATGTGTGTTTGAGCTTAGTATGTGTTTATGTTTGTCTGAGGAAATAGGTGGTGAAGGTGGGAATCTTTGAAGGAGAAGGAGAGGATCCACACTAGAGAAGGCCAAGCTCAAGGTATAAACCATGGATTCCCAAAACTACAATTTTTAGTTTGATAAATGCTAGATTCTTGAGATTAGATGTGAAGAAATGTTAGAGAATGATTGTTGATGAGTTCTTTTGTGTTGTTGATGTTATGTGTATGATTTGTGGTTGTCTGGAAGCATTTGTTGATGGTCTGAGATGTTTTGTCGGAGAAGAAGACCTCTGGTGCACACTGTCTAGTGCACCAGGGTGACATTGCGGCCCTAGCCAACGGATCTAAGAGAGATCCGCTGGCTAGGACCGTGGTCCAACGGACCAGGGTGATGGATCTCAGCGAGATCCGTCAGTCAAGGCCGCTGCTTGGCGGAGCCAAGTGGCGGGGCTTCTCTAGCCCCGTCACTAAGCTCCGCCGGGTCAAATTTTGAGAAGGCCCGGTGCTTTGAGGCTCAACCATGTGTTGTTTCAGACCAGGATCCGTGGGCCCTTGAGGCCCGAACACTCAGGCTCGTAACGACGCGCTAGTATGAGTTGTTTCGTTTAATTTCAAAGTAGAAGCATGTTTACCATAAACATGAAAGATGAACTCTGTGTATTTGAGGCTTTGAAATGCATGGCAGTGAAGTATATATTTTGCTTCTGTTCTCAAGATTGTGTAGTAGCTGTGCTATTTACTTTGTTAATTCTTGAGTTGATGATTTGTTGAGTTATTTGAGATTAATTGTTTAAGGAAGTGCATTCCAAGTTTCACAGTAAAATAGCATGTTCATCAATTTCATGATTTATGTAGAGTTACGTTGAGGCAAAATAAAGCCTAAGTCATATTTCAAAACCTTATATCTATTTTGAAAAATCTATATCTATATGCATAGAGAAGCTTGCATGATAAATTGATTTCCAAAATGTGAAAGAGAAGTTATATGAGATGTACTTGTGCATTGAGAAGCTTGCTTGACATCTAGATTACTAGCTTGAGTAAAGAAGTTCCATGTGTTATATATGTTATTATTATGTGAGGAAAACCTTGTTTTGGAGGCCCCCGTTAGGACTATGTGCTTTCGCAAGAAAAGAGAAAGAAAGAAGTTTGAGAAAAGAAAGAAACGGTCACAGAGGACCGACAATTGTTTTAGAAGTAACTTGGTTGATTGTAGACACAGAAAAATTTAACCCGATAAATAGACGGATAAAATTGTTATTGGGCCGACGTCGAGATTGATGATTGAGCCGATTTAATTAATTGGATCATAAAAGTCTATTTAATTTAATTTAATTAGCCCAATTAGAATTTGATTTGGGCTATTGAATTTAATATTGAATTAATTAATTAATTGGCCCAAATCCATTTCATATTTGAATTTAAATTATAATTATAATTTAAATATAATATTAATGTTATTATATTTGAATTAGATAATTATAATTTAATTTGAATTTGAATTAGATTATACAATAATGAACCTGGACTTGATCTTGGGCAAGGTTCATTTTCCTAATTAATTAATTAATTAATTAATTAGTTAACTAAAAAGGGGAGATGGTTGGGGAATTTTGGTTAAGCTTTTAGTATAAATAGGGTCTTCGTTTTCATTCCAAAACACACTTGAAAGCTTGAAGAACTTGTAGGCATTGAAGAACGCTTGAAGATTTGAAGGCATTTTTGTTGATTTTGCAGGCAATTTGAATCCATTGCAGGTACTTTGGAGCTTTGCAGAATTGATTGTCTCGAAGATCTTGAAGTCTTTTGAAAGCATTTGAGGACCTTAAGGCAGCTTGAATCCATTGCATGTGTTTTGAAACTTTGCAGGGTTGATTACTTCTAAATTCTTGACGCTCGTTTTTGGAAGTCACGCCAATTGAATCCCGGAAGCTACGCCACTTAAATCCCAGAGGCACGTGCCACTTGAATCCCGGAGGCTAAGCTATTTGAATCCCGGAGGCACTTCCATAGATAACGTCAGTGAAGAATCAGAGGACTAGACAGAGATCTTGTACCTGCATATTAAATTATACACACGCTGTACACGGAATTTTGTGAATATATACAAAGTTTTCTTTTTGTATTTACAGATTTTGGCACACCCAGTGGGACCACTCTACCTCTCATCTCTTCACTGTTGATTCGCGAGCTCTATAAGGAAGGAATCTAAATGGCATCAAGAAATCCCTCCTCTAAGATGACATATGCTCAGGCTACCCGCTCCAGGGCATCATCTGCGGCCGGTTCCGGTGATAGCCAAGGCGTGGGAGGAGCAATGACTCGAAGCCGAGTGAGGAACCTAGGGGTGCAGCTGCACGAGGCCCAGGACATTGCCCGCCACATCGTCCGAATGATTGACAGAAACTCCACTATGTCACGGAGAGCTGCACATGACAAAGGATCATCCTCTACAAAGGAAACTGTTGCTGACCACAATCCTACAAGTGAGGGAGCTCCAAGCAACAAGAGTCCTGCGAGCCCTATTCCCTCGGATAAAACTCCAAGCAGTGGAAGTTCATCACAGTCGTCACTTCTGCGGAGAACCTCACCGGAATGGAATCACATATACATAATTATGCCCGCTATGACAACGAACGCGGCTTCGGTGGAGGAACAACTCGCAAACATCACTAAATCCCTCGAGGGGATAGCTACACTCATGCATAACCAAGAAAGGCGGATCAATGAGCTCAGCGAAAAGGTTGAAAACGGAAGAAACGGCAAAGCAAGTCGAGCTTCCGGGAAGCAGCCTCAAACCCAAGGAGATGAGATTGATGTCGAGTCACCGCGCCATCAAAGTAGGCTAGGAATGGAAGAGAACTCTCGTCCACCACTCGCCCAGAAGAGTATTCCCATTTCTGAGGGCATGATACCCGTCGAGCAGTTGAACGACTACATCATGGGAGCAATTAAAGGGAAGCTCGAGGGAAGACAATCTTCATATACTTACACTACGCCATATACTCAGAGAATTGAAGAAATGAAGATGCCGCCGGGCTATCAACCTCCCAAGTTCCAGCAGTTTGATGGAAAAGGCAACCTGAGGCAGCACATCGCCCACTTCGTTGAAACCTGTAATGATGCAGGAACATACGGAGATCTCCTCGTCAAGCAGTTCGTTCGCTCTCTGAAGGGCATTGCCTTTGATTAGTACACAGACCTGGAGCATGGTTGCATTGATAGCTGGAATGATATGGAGCGCGAGTTTTTGACCCGCTTCTACAGCACCAGGAGGACTGTCAGCTTCTTGGAACTCACCACTACCCACCAATGGAAGGGTGAGCGTGCGGGCGCTTACATCGAGAGATGGAGGGAGTTGTGCCTTAACTGTAAAGAGAGGATATCACAAAGCTAAATACCCAACTTGGATATCCAGCATTGTTCCTGTGCGCAAGAAGAATGGCCAGATCCGTGTGTGCGTAGACTTCCGAGATCTTAACATTGCATGCCCGAAAGATGACTTCCCGCTCCCTATCACCGAGTTAATGATAGATGCCGTAACTGGACACGAGATCATGTCATTCATGGATGGCTCATCCGGTTACAATCAAATCCGCATGACGCCAGAAGATGAGGAATTTACAGCGTTTCGTATGCCAAAAGGTATCTACTGCTACAAAGTGATGCCCTTTGGTTTGAAAAATGCAAGTGCTACATACCAAAGGGCCATGCAGACTATATTTGACGACATGCTACATAAAATGGTGGAATGTTACGTAGATGACCTGGTTGTGAAGTCGAAACTTCGCACAGATCACATGATGCATCTAAGATAAGTATTTGACCGCTTGAGGAAGTTTCAACTCAAAATGAACCCCCTGAAATGTGCTTTTGGGGTTGCTGCTGGCAAATTCCTTGGGTTTACTGTTCGATATAGGGGCATTAAGATTGAACAAGCAAAGATCGACGCTATAATGAAGATGCCTGAGCCAAGGAACCTTCATGAGCTTAAAAGCTTGCAAGGAAAGTTGGCTTATATAAGAAGATTCATATCAAACCTAGCAGGAAAATGTCAGCCCTTCAGCCGATTAATGAAGAAAGGTGTCCCGTTTGTATGGGATGAGGCCTACAAGAATGCATTCCAAAGCATCAATTCCTATTTAATGAAGCCGCCTGTGCTGACTGCTCCAGTTCCAGGACGCTCGCTGATCCTTTACATCTCCGCCCAAGAAAGCTCTGTGGGTGCTTTACTTGCACAAGAGAATGATAATGGGAAAGAAAATGCCCTTTATTATTTTTAAGTTGAATGATGACGCCAAATGAGCTCATATATCTGCCAATTGAGAAGTTGTGTCTGGCCCTTGTATTCGCCATCAGGAAGCTCAAGCACTATTTTGAAGCACATACAATTCGTCTAGTTTCCAGGGCAAACCCAGTGAAGTATGTCATGGAAGAGGTTGTTCTTTCCGATCGACTTGCGAGGTGGTATTTATTATTTCAACAGTTTGAGATCACTTATATACCATAGAAGTCCATCAAGGGGCAAGCCTTAGCGGATTTCCTAGCTGATCATCCAATTCCTGCCGGATAGGAGCTGTCCAGTGACCTACCTGATGAGGATGTGCTTGTGGTTGAAGTTTTACCTTCGTGGAAGATGTACTTTGATGGAGCAGCACACAAAGAGGGGGCAGGCGCTGGAGTTGTCTTTGTTACGCTTGAAGGGGAAATGCTTCCTTATTCATTTACCTTGACAGAACGCTGCTCGAACAATGTTGCCGAGTATCAGGCACTCATTTTCGGACTTGAAATTGCAGCTGATATGAAGAAGCTAAGGGTTAATATATATGGGGACTCCAAACTAATTATTAATCAAGTACTTGGGGTTTACGAAGTAAAAAAGCCAGAGTTGATCCCATACAACAGTTATGCAAAGACGCTCCTACATTGGCTAGGAGATGCTACGATGGAGCACATTCCAAGGAAACATAATAAGCAAGCCGATGCCTTAGCTGCTTTGGCTTCAACTATATCACATCCTATAGATGAGGCTCGGTTACAAGTATGCCAAAAATGGGTGGTCCCTCCAATCTTCGAAGACGATGGCTCTCTTGACAACATTGTTGAACTCCCGACTGCTTCTGTCTATGAGGTAGATAAAGAGGATTGGAGGCAATCATTGATTGACTACCTTGTTGATGGGAAGTTACTTCAAGATCCTCGTAGGAGGGTAGATGTAAGACGTCGAGCTCCTCGCTTCATATATTTCAAGGATGCGCTATATCGGCGCTCGTTTGATGGCGTGTTTCTTCGATGTTTAGGCGAAGAGGAAGCTTTACAAGCGATGGAGGAGGCTCACTTTGGAGTGTGCGGTGCTCATCAATCTGGTTCTAAGTTACATTTTCACATCAAAAGGATGGGTTATTACTGGCCTACGATGGTGAAGGATTGCGTAGACTATGCACATAGATGTTAGGCATGTCAATTCCATGCGAACTTTATACATCAACCTCCTGAACCGCTACATCCGACGGTAGCATCATGGCCATTTGATGCATGGGGGCTCGATGTGGTCGGTCCTATTACACCCAAGTCATCAGCAGGGCATTCGTATATATTAGCAGCCACCGATTATTTCTGAAAGTGGGCTAAAGCAGTGGCTTTAAAGGAAGTGAAGAAGGAAAATGTTGCAGACTTCATCCGAGTTCACATTATCTATCGTTTTGGCATTCCTCGGTACATCCTAACCGACAATGACAAACCATTCGATAATAAATTGATGGATAAAATCTGCAAACTTTTTGAGTTCGAGCAAAGAAATTCATCAGCTTATTATGCCGCTGCAAATGGACTTGTCGAGGCTTTTAAAAAAACTCTATGCAATCTACTAAAAAAGGTGGTGTCGAAGTCAAAACGTGATTGGCAAGAGATGATGGAAGAAGCACTGTGGGCATACAGAACTACATACCGTACACCAACGCAAAGCACTCCATACTCACTGGTATATGGGGTTGAAGCAGTTTTGCCTCTTGAACGCCAAATACCTTCTCTAAGGTTAGCTATCCAAGAAGGCCTTACAGATGAGGATAATGTAAAGTTGCGGTTGGCAGAGTTAGAAGCTCTCGACGAGAAGAAGTTGCAGGCTCAACAAAGTTTAGAATGCTATCAAGCTCGAATTTCTAGGGCTTTCAACAAAAGGGTAAGGATTCGCTCATTTCAGGTTGGTGACAAGGTGTTGGCGGTTCGTAGACCTATCATTATTACAAGGAAAACTGGGCACAAGTTTACTCCAAAATGGGATGGACCTTACGTGGTACAAGAAGCATACTCAGGGGGTGCTTACAAGCTAATTGATGAAAATGGTGTGCGAGTTGGCCCTATTAACGGGAAATTATTAAAGATCTATCATCCTTAAGCACACGACACTACATGATGAATGATATCCACCAAAAATGCAGCACGTGGTTAAACTGCTAATGCATCTCGCTTGTCTATGGGTGGGCCCAAGTCATAGACGCTCCTGACCCGCACGAGCTTAAACTGTGTACGGTAAACTCCTGGCCCGCATGAGTTTAAACTGTGAACGGCCCTACCTATTCAAATGGTCCTTTGAACTACGTTTGATTTGATCTCCTTTGCAGGAGTACATAGGCAGCTTACAAACACTTCGTCTTCTAATTTCAGCTTAGAAACACAGCGTAGATGTATTGGAGATGGGTCATCTCTGTTCATGTTGTAATTACGGGTGAATTCTTCTGTCAGATTTCTATTAGAGTGACTCGTTTGGGTTTAGACTTAGTTGCTTCTGTTCATGCTCAAGTTCAATTACTTTCCTCCGAGTATACTTTTTTTTTTGGCACTTGTAATCAAGAAAATTGTTTGCAAGTATTGTTGAAAAAGAGAAGAGAATTCAAGTCGTATTCAAGTCTTGTTTCCAAGTGAAACTCATACAAATGGGCCGAAATACAAAAAAAAAAAAAGGGTAAACAAATGGAACACCGAAGAGCTAAACAAAAAAATCTAAAGTATTCTAAAGCTCATGAGATCTTCCTTATACACTTCCAGTTCTCTTTTGATTGAAGTAAGCTTTTCGTCATCTTCATCCGTCAACGTGGGGCAGTCTCGAATACGCTTAACTTCCTCCTCAGCGGTGGTCACGGCCTTTTGCGATGCGTTATGTTGTTCTTGAGCCTTCGTCACACGGTCTTGGAGTTCCGGGTTCTTGGCTTCAATCTCCTTCAACTCTTCCTGCGCATCCTTTATCGTTTTCTCCAGGAGGGGTTTCCGGTTGGCGGCGTCTTTGAGGGTTTTCTGTTGGTCAAGAAAAAGCGCTTTGGTTTGAGAACACTTCTGTTGAGCTTCTATAAGGACACCTTGCGTTAGAACTAGCTTCGCGACTTGGGTTTCAACGGGCAGTGCATTCGAGAGCTACGACCGCGCCCGATCGTAATCTTTGGCCTTGTTAAAGAACTCGGCCACTCATCGCTTCAATGTTGATAGGTCCACCCCGTCCCGTCCCATTTCTTGGAGTTGTCTTTCAACGCTTCCTTGGAAAGAAGAAATTCTTTCAGCTGGAATCTAATTAAGCTTCCTGCAGATACTACTCCAAACTCCTGCAATGAAAGCCATGTATTGTGATATAAACGGCTCCTCGTCGGGGAAGATAGAGGCTTGGGACGGCTCTGGCTGCGTCTCCTGAGGAGTTGTGTTTAAGGGCGGCGGCGACTGGTGGGAATCTACCTCGAGGTCAAGGGTATTAGAGCGTCCGCTACTTTGTCCCATTGAAGATTGGTGATTTGATGACTGGACATCATTGCTAACATGTGGCTCGGCAAGATCCTGTAAGAAGTAGTGCATGTACGTTAACAAAGGCCAAAGTTCAACGATATACAAAACGGAAGAGTTTGGGGGAAGTATCTTAACCTGGTTCAATGGTCTCCCTCTAGGTCGTTTCCAACAGCGATCTTGATCGTCATCACTACCAGCATCCTCGTCCGAGCTTCGCTGCCTCGCTTGCTCCTCCCTGCTCCTTCGAACGGCATGTCCTGAGGCTCTATCCCGAGATGACATGTCCTCTTGTGCAGGTGTTATTTTGTTCCTGGAGGTGGTCAATTGGTCTCTTTGTTCTTGAGTTCCTTCCTCGCTAACAGGTACGTTTGGGTTTTCGTTAACGGCTATGTCTGTGAAATGATTCTCGAGAAGGTTTACACTCACATTGATCAACCAGGCCTTGTACTCGTTCGAAAAATGCTTCTTTAGAGCAGCCGGGATCATGGGAAATGTCGCCCTGGATTGGGAGTTGATATTATCATATTGGCGATGAAGTCGGAATCCTTCGGTGAGTGAAACTTAATGGACATCCTTCGCCAACAGGCCTGGGGCATATGCTTGATAGAATCCAAATTGACGACTGAAGCGATGCGGCATATAAGGCTCAGCTTTGCATCGAGACCCTTGGCGCAAAACGAGGAAGCTGGGGCGCAAACATATGAAGTACTCAAAGTCTTCCCTACTCCCTCTACGTTCGTCGTAAAAGATAAAATCTCTATTATCCTTGCGGGAGTTGCAGAGCCAAGAAACGTCCCCTTTGAATATCTTCTTACGGGCATCCATCCTGGTGTAATACCTTGCACCACCTTCTCCAGAATTAGTGAACATCTTTGGGTTTGCTAACGTGAGGCTGGGGGTTTTAAAGTGAGTTTGGTAGTAAGCTGCTAGCCAACCGTACACGTAATGGATTGGAAAAGGATCTCCTATTTGACTAGGAGAGTAGGATTCCGAGATTGAGTTTAAATCAGAATAAATACTAGTAAGTACTGGAGCCGCAAGACATATCTTACCTCCTCTAGCCATCATGCATGCTATCTTGAAAGTCTCTGGGCGAATGGTTCTTGTTGGTGTACCTGGTCGGACAAACATGCAAAGCTAACAAGATAAGAACGCGGCTAAGTAAGCTTCCTTTTCGAAACGCCGGGAGATGCCTAGTTCGAGAAAGGGCGTCCTGCTCACATCTAACCACCCGATGGATGTGTTAAGTTCTCCGCTTGGTTGTGGGTATTATTTGGCCGGGATTTCCTGTCCTTTTGAGATGGAGGTGGAGGAGCTGGATGTGTTCGCGGTTTTTTGCACCAGAAGTGATGCTTGAACGTAGGGGGTGCCACCCTCTTGCTGGTTTAAGAGATAAAAGGCCTCGAGTAAGCTTGCACAACACTTGTTTGGGCCCCTTTTTAGGTCCAGGACACTTGGGATGTGTTCGTCATAAATGCCGCCGGACAGTGGTAGTCCCCCAAGAACGTGCAAATCCCGAGGCGATATGCTCACCTCACTAGACGAGGTGGTCAGGGTGTTGGTTCGCGGGCACCATGCTTCGCAGAAGGCTTTGACAATGTTGATGTTACGATCATATGTAAACAATGACGCGTACACAGCATCATATATCTTTCCCTCCTTTAAGGTGTCGTGGGAGAAGTGAAACATTTCTTCAACCCACTCCGAATATCGTTTTAGAAAAGTGAATTCGCCCTCGAAGTCTATGTCTTGGCCCCACGAGACCTCAGCATTAAGTATACGATGCCCCAGTGTAGGAAGGGCGTCTTTGGAAGGTTGGTGCTGCATTCCGGGTAGCAAGGTCCACACCTTGGATGGAGGGCATTCGTACTCAAGGGTCCAGTTGCTCTCATGATACGGCACCGTGAGCTTTGGCGGGTCACGTATTACTATGGGTGGGTTAACCGTCAGTGTGACTTGATGATCACTATTTCTGCTCGATATCACCATGATCTCTTGCCCGTTACGTCGTTGATCTTGAAAGTACACCATCTTGAACGCGTCAGAGTCGAAAAGTCGCTGCACAAAAAAAAAATAAATAAATAACTATGATATATTATGCACAAATATATAGCATATACATAACACAAAATTAAATTGACGAATTATATATATATGGCAATTTTTTTTTGGACTATGGTCCACACAATTTTATGGACCATGGTCTATGCATCAATGGTTGTATACATATACTACATGTGGACTACATATGTTAATACATTGTATACATATACACAATGTTATTATTATTATTATTATTAATATTATTATTATTATATTAATATTATTATTATATTGTATTATTACAATTGTTATCAGAATATTGCAAAAAAAAAATGAAGTAAAAAGAAACAAAAAAAAAAAAAAAACGAAGTAAAAAGAAGCAAAAAAAAAAAAAAAAAGAAAAAAAAAACGAAACGAAATAAAAAGGGAAAAAAAAGAAGAAGGAAAAAAACCAAGCAAAACAAAAGAATAGAAAAAAAAATGAAAATGCTGCATTGTACATAGGTAATAATATGTGGGGCATAATATATGTTAATTAAGGAGATGGCGTGATGCTGTAGAGAAACAAATTGGTGGGGCCAACTGAAATAATCTCTTGCTTCATTCCCAATAAAGGTGGTGGTAATCACGTGCAACATGGAGGCCATCTTGAGAATGTAAATGCCTTCGTCTAAGCTCCAGCCTGAATCCTCCTCTGCAAATGACTTCACATAAAGCAACAGAGCTTTCCTCCACTCAGCAGCGTTCACGACGAAAAACAGATCCCGACGAATAATTGAGCGGCATCGACGGTTGAACAACGGATTCCAGCGAACAGAGTCCGGCGGCAGACTCCAGCGGCGATCGGCGACTGTGTTGCAGGCTGGATGGTCCTCTGATTTGCGAAGAACCTCCGGCACTTTCATTTGCGAAGAACCTCCGGCACCTTCATTCGCGAAGAATATCCGGCAGCGGTGACGATCGGCGTCCGGCAGTGGCAGAGGTCGATGTCCATGGTTTCTGGTCTCGCAGCGTCAGTTTTCAGGGGAATGAAAAAAAAAATGCTCCATGTGATAAGCCTCAAGCCATCCCTAGTAGCAAACTCCGGCTGCAGAGCACCTATGGTGCAACCCTCGACAGCAACGGATCTCCTGCAACACTCCGGCTGCAGAGCACCTATGGCGCAACCTTCGACAGCAACGGATCTCCTGCAACAGACAAAAAAGAGCTCCGGACCTGCGGTAGATGGAAAAGTACTCCGGTAGGCAGCAACCTCCAACTGAAAAAAAAAACAACAAAAATCTTCCGGCGACTCGTTGCTTGTTGTTCTGTGTGATTAGCGAATTCAGAGGTCGACGGCGGCAGTAGGAAAAAAAAAAACAAAAAAAAAAAAAACAAATGGGTTCCCTTCGGACTTTTATGTTGTAGCTGCGTTGCAACTTACCTGTTCTCCTTACTCTGTAAAAAAAATGCAAACAGAGGGGGAAGTAGGGATTTACCTTGTGGTGGTTTGTGATTTGCTTTGTTCAATTCTCTGGCACGGTTGATCGTGTAAATGATGGTATGTTGAGACTGTATTTATAGCGTACTGTGGGGAGATGTTAG